GTGTGTGTGTGTGTGTGTGTGTGTGTGTGTGTGTGTGAATGAAGGGTGATTTCAGCCAAATGTATGTGATCTCCATTTACTGTACGGGATATAGAGCCGTACCTTTCGTACATGGAGAAGGTGCTTCGGTTGATCGATGGCCATAAGGTCATATTTGGTGTGGATGCTAACGCGGTCTCTTCCTTGTCGTTCAGCAAGAGTGCAGGCCGCGGCAGGGAAAGCGAGATGCGTGTTAGGATCTTGCTTGAAGAATGGATTCTAGCGAATAGGGTGATTGTGCTGAGTGAACCGTGTGAGTGTTATACCTTTTCGAGTATGGCAGGGCAGAGAGACGTAGATATGACCCTTGTGAGTGGTGTGGTTGTCGTGTATCAGTTTGAATGGAGTGATTGGGGAATAAGTAAGGGGTGATTGGGGAATAAGTAATCACAATGTGATCCTTATCCGGATGATGTATGGAAAGAGTCAAGGGAGAGGATAATGTGTATAAGAGATGAATATATAAGAATGTGAACTGGGAAGAATACATGAATGACTTGACTGAAGTTGCAAGGATGTGTGGGATGGAAGTTTTGCATGAGATGAGTGTGGACAGTATGGCTGTTCACCGAATGGAACCAGGAGGTGAACAGGAGATATATGAAAGAGATTCAGCGCCGATTGCAGGAAGATTGAATGATGGACGAGAAAGCTGACTACCCTGATGGATAAGGTGCGAAAGAAGAGGCGAATGATGCAGAAAGCGAGAAAGAAAGCTGGTGCGAATGTTTGTGTGAGAAAGGAAATGTATAAGAGAGCACTGAACGAGTATAAGTTTCGAATGAGAAGAGTGAAAACTGGAAACAGTTTTTGGGCGAATTTTCGAACCTGGATCCATGGGAACCGGTGTATAAGGTGTATCATGGAATATGTGTGAAAAAGTGGTTGAGTGCGTTATGTGTGAATGGTGAGAGAATCGCGACATGGAAAGGATGTGCGAAAGCGTTGCTTGTAAGATTCTGCCCAGTGGCGAGCATGCCTTATGTGGAGAGTACGGATGTTGAAGTGTTTGTGGAATTGAATGGTTGCGCGAAAGAAATCGAATGGGAGGAAGTAAGGGCTGCGGTTTCGAGAGCGAAGCTGCGAAAGGCACCCGGCTTAGTCTTACTGCTGAGATGTTGTGAGCGGTTTGGAGCGCAGTCCCGAGATGGCTGGTGAGTTTTTATGAAGCATGCCTAAGGAATGGTTGTTTCCCTGCAAAGTAGAAGAAAGCGAGTGTCGTGGTTTTGCCGAAATTACTCGACAAACCGTGATCGGATCCTGAGTCCTAGGCCCATTAGCCTGCTGTCTGTGCTGGGCAAGACGCTTGTGCGAATGATGGTTGCGCGGATGGAAGGAAGAGTGATTGGGAGAATGCATTGTGCTCAGTATGGCTTCCGTGGGGGTCGTTCGATGGAAAATGCATGGCAGGTGAGGGAGTATGTGTTAAGTGTGGATTTTTTCAGTGCATTTGATGGAGTGGGTGCGTGTGATAGAGAAACTGAAGACTGTGGGTTGTGAGGAGATTGCCCTCTGGAAGAGCTACTTCCAGGGGCACTATGCATGCATGAATAGGCGTGAATGATGTTGTGTGGCGGAAGGTAGAACGGGATTGCCGGCAAAGCTCCATCTGCGGACCATTAATTTGGAACCTTATGA